TTTTTTTTCTTCTTCTTCTTCTCCTCCTCCTTCTTCTTCTTCGGGCAATTCGGTGATGGTGGTCCTCGCAACAATTTAGCAAGGACCCTCCACCAAAATCGAGGCAGACAATGAATACGAAGTGGAGCACGAGGTGGCTGCATATATACTCAGGATTCGTATTCAAGTTTGTGTTTCAGCAGTTATGGGTTGCTCACTTAGCTAGGCCCTGTTGGTCTCTACACGTGATTCTCAAGGCTTGGCTGATGTACTCACCAAATGTGTAGATTCTACAGAATTAGAACGAATCTTCTGCTAGAACGTGGAATAAGGGCCTCGTTAGACACACTTTACGAGTTCCTTGAGCCACAAGGAAATTGCTCGTAAGGGAAATTTGAGGCGTCGTTCCACTCATCCTTGGGGATCTCCCCCGAGGATGTTTCCTTGTGGCGTGCCCGCGGCCATTTTCATACGGAAATTAGTGGCCGCGGGGTCGGTGGTCCTTGGTCCACCGTCTTTTGTCCGTGTGGAGGCGGTGTGGTCCGGCGACGTGTGGCGGGAAACGGCATGAGGCGGGCGAGGCGAAAAAAAAATAACCCCGGGGGCGTCGACATTCGAAATTCGAATTTCGAATGATGGCTGCGACGACGTGCGGTTGGCGGCACGAAGACGGCGTTCTGCTAAAACGGGCTCAGCGGCGGCGTCACTTCCGTCCCCCTAGCATTGTGAGTGTGCAGGCATCATCGAGTGCGTCCATCGCCGTCGACCTTCGCACATGTGGACTGCGCCTTGAAACACATTTTCGTTTGCGAGACTGCATCCATAGAAAGGGGCCAGCTTTCGACAAACGTCTTTGGCTTTTTCGTTGGGTGTGGAAGGACGACACACATGGCAGCGGAGCGACGGGTCCGTGTCTAGGTCACAGCCATGGAGGGCGGCGGAGAGGGTGGACATGCAGTGTTGACGCCTCTTGAGTTGCAGGCCGTGGCGGCGGCCGTGTCTACCATTGTTCTTCGATGTCAGCAAGAGAGGGCGCAGGGACGATTGAAAGAGCAGTTGGGAGCGCGTAGACGGAGGACATTGATGCAAGCTCCAGACGATGGCCCCGACTACGTGGCGACCTCGGAGGTTGTTGTTCCGTTGTGCTATGCGTTGGGTTGCAGAGTGATTCCTCGAGCAACGCCGAGGTGGTGGATGAAGCACAGGACAGGGAGCAGGACAAGGAGTTGTCGGCCTGACGTTGGTCTGTCGTCGATCCATCCTGTCACCGTTCTTGGAAGATCTCCTTTTGCGAGCCACGACAGGGAGAAGGCCGACGAAACACACGTGGAAGAAGACAACGATGAGAAGCAGCATGACGACGAGGAGTAGCAGAGGCAGCCTGTGCAGCAGGTCGACCATGGAAGGGTAGGGGAAAGGGCAACAACTGCACGTCAATGGTCGACTGTCCAACGAAGAACTCCGTCGACAGAAGAAAAAGCGAGGGAAGATCTGTGCTCCGACGTGTAAGGCGTGACGACAACCGACGATGACAACGATCTTCCAAAATAAAACTGTTGTCGTCGAACGCAGCGTCGACGCAGACAAGCATTCAAATTTTCAACCGTTGTCGACGATCGCCCAGCGCAGCAGACCGCATGACACCGGCCAGCGACGCCCGATTCAACGGATGGAGGCCTCACGCGGACGGTGACTGTTTGGAGCCATTGGGGTGCCGCCCAGACGGTGGAGGGAAGGGATATACGTGCTCTCGTTCGGTGGACCACGTCTGGACCACCCTCTAACCGAAATTGTGCGTCGACACATGCCTTCGCCGCTCTGAATTTCGCGCTTCCTTGTGCTCCGAGGGACCTCAGGAGGTCCCTTGAGGATTAGGAAAAATTGGAATGTAGCCACAAGGACGCCACAAGGAAATTTCCTTGTGCTGTTTTCACGTTTTCTTTTGCGAATCATCCCCAAGGACAGGTGGAACGAGCACTTTCTTGTGGATTTCGGGTCCACAAGGATTGTCTAACGAGGCCCGAATACTTCGCCATATGTTTTGTCTTTTGTGCATGTGGTGAGTAAAGGCCCTTCGGGCCACTACACATATTCCTACGAAAGAAAAACGAGAAAGCAAAAGGAAAATGAGAAAATAAAAGAAAAACGAGAAAACAAAAAAAAAACGGGAAAACAGAGAACTAGTGACCCATAACTGTGACGCACAAACCTGAATTCGAATCCAAACTAAATATTCTCGGCCCATGCAGACAAACTTTGAGTCTAAATTGTCTTATGTCCATCTGTGTTCCACGAAGGGTCCTTGCTAGTTCGTAGGGGCTCTTCGGAAATGAGACTAGACACAACTAGGACATGTACACCCACACGCACACACATGTGCTCAGTGTTAGGGTATGGGGCGGCCCCAACTTTTTTCCCTTATGCAGTTTGGTTTTCATAAGCGAGGGGCAAATTTGGCCACCCCACCCTGTCCTTTCAATTTTTATTTTTTTTCCCATCCGAAAACGACCCCCCCCAAAATTTCATTTTTGTTTTTTAGTTTATTATGGCGGGGGATGCAATGTGCAGGCGATGCGCGCGCCCCGATTTTGGGCGCGCGGCTCCGCCTGCGCTTGGCGGGGCCGCGAAAAAAGTCAGCCGCGCGGCCTCGGCCACGGGGTCGCGGCCAAGGCCGCAGGATCCGTGGTCGTGGGGGTCACGTAGGCCACGTGTGAGCCAAACACTGACGATGGCGCAGCTTCGTAGTGGTTGAGGCGGCCTCTCAGTCGGACCAGCGCTATATATAGCTGGTCCACCCACTTGGGTGCCATTAGCGTTAGTCTTCAACGTCGGGCGTGAGGTAAGGAGCTAGAGCGTTGTAGTTGCAATGCATCAGGAGTAGAGAGAGATAGAGATGAGGCAAAGGCTAGGGGGACTTACCTGTGACGGCATTATAGCTCCAGCTTCGTCTCTGTGTCCTCACCTGCACCAAGGCGCCACCTTTCTAAAGGCTCGTGTTAGTACCTGGTACAAAGAGAGAGAGAGAGAGAGAGAGAGAGAGAGAGAGAGAGAGAGAGAGAGAGAGAGAGAGAGAGAGAGAGAGAGAGAGAGAGAGAGGTGGTATAGAGAGAGAGAGAGAAAGAGAGAGGGAGAGAGATAGAGAGACTGAGAGAGAGAGAGAAAGAGAGATGATGATAGAGAAAGGGAGAGAGTGAGTGAGAGAGAGAGAGAGAGCGGTATAGAGAGAG